CGAAAAAGCAGACCACCGTTGCACTCTCTTCGATGGAGGCTGAGTATATGGCAGTCGCGTACGCTGCGCGGCACACGATTTGGATGCGCGCCATGCTCGCGGAACTGACCTGTGAACAGCGGGATGCCACTACTCTCAAGGCTGACAACAAATCAGCGATCGAGCTGTCGAAGGACAATGTCCAGCATTCAAGGTCAAAACACATCGATATCCGGCATCATTTCATTCGGGAATGCATCGCCGCCAACACGATTCGACTGCAATATTGCCCGACGGACATCAATTCGGCCGACTTGTTCACGAAGGCCCTTGCACGCGATCGTTTTCAGGCTTTGCGCACACAACTCGGCATCTTGCTGATGCAGAGTTGAGGGGGAGTGTTGGAGTATGGTCACGCGCTTGCCTTACTGCTTTGGGCATGCTTTGCGAATGCTTGACGGTGGCACCAACGCCACTACACCTTCTGTCTCGGATCTACATTACAATAGTCTTTATGTAGTACATGTATATATAGACTCCCGCGGCTCCGCTGTAGAATCATCTTCTTTCCCCACGAACTTCTACACGAACTGGGTATACGTGTGAATAGATCGTTTGACGTACACAATCGTGCATGCGACCAGAGCATGTAATCACGATGTTAGCAGGTGCCCAACTGACAGTTCAAACACATGGAAATTTCAGGGGACATTCACGTGTGCGGTTTGGGGTTCAAATAGATGGACTACTCAAACGGGTCATATACGTCGGCTGTTTGAGGCAGTAACACAAGAGGGAGTTGATTGTGTAAAAAGCTTGGTATATTTCAAATGACTCTGTCTAGTACACATGGGAGCTACCAAGCAGGTCTCGTAAAAAAAAACCAACAAGTTTGGCATCACAGCACGCTGTTACGGCGAAGCGTGTCAGCACTCAAGGGGTCGTGTGCAGGTTATGCACAACGAGGATGCAGACTGATGACAAGCTTAGCACACTGGTTCACTGGGGGTCTGGGGGTTCGAGGTCACTAGGGGTCTAGGGAGTGAGAACGCTTGATTGGTACAAGAGGTCAAACTGGGGTGCCCAGTGCAAGACCTGTCCTTGTATACTAAAGTACACGGTCGCTGACTAATCGGAGAACAATAGTCACAGGACAATAACAATGGAGAACAATAGCGAATGGGGACAAAGGAGTCACGTGGTGTTGTGACCACGTAGTACAATGGCGAAAAGAACAATAGCGATGAGAACAATGGGGATATGAAGCATGGTGTTGGAACCATGGTAGGTACGAGTGTCCGAGTTGTGCCGTAAGAAGAGGGAATGCATGGTAGAGAGGATACGAGGAGAAAGGGAAAAAAGAGACGCCCCCACAGGGCGTTTGTAACACTACCCCCCCCGCTATAGTCGAGCTACGCCTGAAGCTCGTGAGGGACGGGATGTGCATACGTGGACTAGACGTCGTTCTCGTCGCTGAGCGGGCCAAGATAGTTGTCGATCTCGCGTACCTCGCCATCTTTATCACGACCGTACTTCGACTCCTGCTTGTGAAGGTAGGCCTCCCGCGAACCTCGGAACCCCTTCTCGAAGATGTCATCGTCCGGGGCAAAGGAGAGGGGGTGCCCTAAGGCCGAGGGCAAGGGGGACGTGAGGCGGTCTTCGAGAGAACGTGCTGAAGACGGACGGCGAGGAGGGGGAGAGGCAGAACGCTCATGGTTTCTGAGCCTGGGAGGAATGGAGGATTGACTAGAGGACTGGGAAAGACGTCCGTGGTGATAGGACGGAGGTGAGAGGGGGTGCAAGGCAGGGGGAGTGTCATCGTCGGTGTCGTCATCACCATCACTACTGTGATCTTGTTCGGAGCTAGGGATGGGGACAGGGGCCGGAGAGCGAATGCCGGGAGGAGGTAACGAGGGTAGGAGTTTGTACCAATGACCGGAGATCTGAGTCCCTAATGGAGAACGGGCGAGGATGTCCACTGTTGAGTCGAGCGATAGTGTGAGCTGGCGTCGTGCTTTGGTGAGTCGCTCCTCCATCTTTTCGATGAGAAGGAGTGACTTCTTCACCTCGGAGAGGGCACCATTGGCCCCTCGGATAGCGATGAGGGCATTATACAGAGGGGGGTTGCTTGCGACTTGAGCAAGGTAGCGGTCGTATGTGTCATTGAGAAGGTTGGCGACTTCAACAAGGAGTCGGTGCAGGGCATGGGGCGCCGCCCGAACGGCCGCGGTAGAACGAGAGTAGGAGGACATAGTGAGGGTAGCGAGAGGAGGTGATAAACTCGGGGCTGTGAAGACAAGGATTAGATCCGACTAGAGTCGAAGCAAGATCTTCAGTCAGTAAGGAAAGACTATATTGCAGCAACAAACTGTACCTAGAGTCGAAGCAAGACTACAAAGGATCAAGTGAGTAACTACAAGTTAGAGGTAGATGTAATAAAGTACTCACTCTTCAGTCAGTAAGGAAAGACTGAAGAGGGAGGACGCAATCTGAAGTCCTTATATACTACAGAGAAGTGTCCATGACTAATCGAAGAGTGGTTAGTCACATGTACCATAGTGCGATGAATAATACAACAACAAAAGAATTGCAACGTATCGCACCATAGGATGAGTAAGAGATGAGTAAGGCATAGACCTGTCTAGACCGTTCTGGAGTAGTACGGATTGTCCTAGACAGTACCAGAAGAGTCCGGAAGCATAGCTATAGTACACGAGCAGAGAGTCCCAAATATGGTAACATACTACATAAGCGACTACAGCTAAGCGCTAGGAGACGCATAGCCTCATGTAGTCCGGACTGGATAAGTCTCAGTTCAACAACATATGACATGGAGGAGGATGCCTTACTGAGAGAGATGTGTCGGGGTAAGTTTGAGGCGGTCTCCAGACTCGGGGTCCAG